CCCTGGGGGGGGGGGGGATATCGATAAGAGCTGTTTTTGGGCACATCTTGAGCTCCTTCTACTCCACACGATTTTTTCTTCATTAAAGGCCTGCATTTCACGGTATGTATTATGATTTGGTTATTTTCCGATTTTTTCCGAGGCTCGCAGTGACCTAGACATGGGTCTAAGGGCTTCTAGAGTCCGAACTTTTAAACTTTAAAATCCGCACTTTTTCGCAAAAATCGGCATTCATATCCATATTTAGGCCAGTATTCGACTCGAAAAGAGCCCGGAAATGACCAAATCATGATGTATTCTGCATAATACAGACCATCAACGAGCAAAAAATCGCGAAGTAGAGGAAATTTAGGGTGGGCCCAAGAACTGCCCTTACAGATTCCCTTCCTTTTACTTGGAACGAATTCCTCTACGTGAGTGACCAAGGATTCCAGTGTTAGGGATAGATTTTCTTTCCCCTCTGTGTGCTAAAACACTCACTCTCAGGAACATTGTAAGACACACGCACGTGTATTTTGTAATACACCCGAAAAATTTATCGCCTAAATCAATGCTTCAAAATGGAGAGTCGGAGAGGGGGGAGTGAACAAGTATGAAGTTCCGATCGGCCCGCGGCTCCCGTTAAACGGTTTAGCGGGGCGAGGTAATTGCTAATCCAAACAGATCCTCGCGGAAGGTTCAGAAGTTGTCAATAGCCTGCGGCACTTTCCAAAGAGAAAATGCTATCTCAGGCCTTTCATCTCTCCTATTCATTGTTTCATTTCTCGGCGAAATTCACTATGCCGCCTTAGTTGCGATGACCCTCTAGAAACATTTTTCGAAAACTCCTAAAAAAAGTTGTTGAAACGTTTGTTTTAAGAAATCTTTATTTTGCCTATTTTTTAAAGTCCCTGGTAAAAATTGGCGATAGGAGCTGCGTTTCAAAATACCATAGGAGTTCTTATAGCCGACTGAAGAGGGCGATAGGAAATCATATAGCTGGCTGTAGAAAGTGGAAAAAATCATACGGCCGGGCTACACGAAGCGATAAAAAATTATACAGCCGGGCTATAGTTCCTATCGCCGGGCTTTACACTTCATCACCTGGCTGTTGCTTTTTCGCCATCGGCTATAAAAGGCTATAAGGAATTGTGTAGAAATTCGTGTGCTTGTAAATCCTTAAGTTTGTACGGAATCACCTTAATATTTACAAAACGCACATTATATTTTCCTTTACTACATATTTTTTTTTCATCAATTAAAATGAGAATAATCCATACACAGTGTGCAAACATTCAAAGTCATGAGTTGAAAACGCTGACTCCAAATATTAGAGCCTAACACAAAGCGGAGCGGCGGCGCACTGACGCCTACAAACCTAACAGGGATACTTCACGCATTGCGCAATGCGTGAAGTATCCCTGTTAGGTTTGAAGGCGCTAATGCGCGTTCAGCGCTGGCTGCCCGCCCGCCGCGCCGCGCCGCAGCGTACCGTGGCGCTTGGAGCAACTTTTTCACACCAGAGGTATTGCACAGTATCATACGAAATTGAAGGCGCTCCAACATATTAGGAATGGCAGGCATCCTTCAAAAGTACGAGGATTTCCTCGCAAATTAAATCAAGATACTGCGGCCCAAAAAGAGAGCGGTAGTCCAAAAACTCACTAAGTACTAGCATCCGTAATTAGTAAGGTTTAGCATACACTTTATCGCCAGGCTGTTGATTAATCGCCATCGGCTATAAAAGGCTATAAGAAATTGTGTTGCCGGGTATAGAAGCTATTGGAAATCTTACAGCCGGCTGTAGGTCTATGATATTTTGGAACACAGATTCTACTGCCAATTTTTACCAGGGGTAAGATTCAACTTTTCGTGAAATTCACTTAAAAACGGCTTTGGTAAAGAAGAGACTTCTTTTTCAAGAGGTTTTCAGCAATTTTAGTATTGAAAAACTAGTTGATACTGTACGAGGTTGGAGTTCAAAGTTCATTGGAATTTAAAAAAAAAACTTGGTTCGATTTGAATAATAAACTTTGTCACAACATTGAGAAACAGACCCTAGGAAACTATTCTTGTTCCTGTTTGTGTAAGAATACCACGCGGCATTTTAAAAGTATTTTATTACTTTATATTTGTACATTTTAGCATAAAATTCACGTAAAATTTTAGTTTCTCATGTTATATACCCTGCGGATATTTTCTGTGTTGGGCATAAATATGAATGAGTTTTATAATTTAAAAATAATTTTAATGCCTGCCAATTCTTTTCAGAACTTGGTGTATGTTTTTACATTAATTTTATCGCAAAAAAAAAAAAAAACAAAAATGGTTTCTTAACTTGAACATTTTAACCTTTTTCCCCCCAAGTTCAAATTGAACAGCTAAGGCTATTAGGGCAGCTACGCAGACTGAAGCTTTGATCTCGCGGTTGGGCAGATAAAACCAAACTATCTCCTTACCATGCGACACAACTGCATTAGCCGAAAACCTCAGCTGAAACGAGGAATCTTGGATGTTGTACAGAGAGGAAAAACAATTACAGGGATGGGGGGGGGAGAGGGGCGTGGAGTAACGCATTAGCTCGACCGAATATAAATATTTTTCCTCTCGCGTAAGTTGATATGTTCAAATCGTAGCGCGAGTCTTGGGTGGGCTATAGAGGGTGATCCAAAACGCCCGCAGCACCCCTATAACCCCTAGGTTTCTTGCCCTTCTTCAGTGTGATCCCCATATAGAACTTCTACGGAGAGAGGTGATAAAATTCGTTGCCTCTGGCCTAGGACCACTCGCAAAATTTTTAGTATCTATCTCAATTTGTAATGTCAATGCGTACCTCAAAATTTGTAGTACTTATCTCAATTTGTCCAAAAGTAACGAGAGTGATGTCTAGTGCTGGTGGTCCGGGACCATTGGATCACCCTGTATGCATGACTCTGAGGAAGGGCAAGCCCGCCCC